CGAAGGTGCAGAGGCTAGAGGGAGAGAATGACGAAGGAGGGCACTTAGGTTAGAAGGAGAGAGGCGACATTGGTAGAGAAGACTTCTAATTTGGAAATGAGAGTGAGAGACCTAGAGTTTAACCTACACTCACAAACGCAGATGCAATCATTGGCAACACTACGATTTGGTAGGTTTTGGTTCAGTTCCAACTGATTGAACCGAAAACCGAGCTGAATTGGTCGATTCTCTGAAAAACACATCCAAAAATCCAAACTTTATCAAATTTTTTTAGTTTTCAATTTTTTTGGATCGGTTTGTCGATTTTCTTTTCGATCAGGTTCGATTTTGAACATCCCTAACTTATATGATGATGTTTAATCTATATATTCATTGAATTGGAGTAATGTATATAAATGATGTATGTTAAGATATTGATGTTGAGAATGCTATAAACATAAAAACATATTGGTAAACTTACGACTTGAGAAAATAATGTTGACACTTCAATGCACTCCTTAGTAAGTGGACCAGTTTTTTTTAACACTTATATATAAATATTTTAATATCATAAATAATTTATTATCATTTATATTTTTTTATCTCTCTTTTTCTATTAATCTATAATATCTTTTTTATAAATTCTAAAAAAAAATAATAATTTTGACACAATTGAAAAGAAAATGGGGACCACGACACCTAGGTCCCCCCTCCTCTACCCGTGCGTACTATTTCAATTCAATGCAATATCCCGTGGAACTCATGTTTTTTCAATTCAATTTCATATCCAAATTTGCAGTTCTCCAGCTACCAAAAAAATTAAAATACTGACCATATAACCATACTCGTTTTATACATGTTAATAATGACTTAATTATTATTAATTTGGTTATTAAATTAGAAACATTACACTCAGTGAACTATAAATAAATCATTAGTTCCAATTTATTCAAGAACAAGTTGCAATTTAATTCTTAGAATGATATAAGAAAAATGAAAGATTATAATTTGTTCTAAACAAATTATACATAATTTTTTTTTTAAAATTCAAATAATTTCCTTAGAATAATACCCCTATTGAACCTAGGAAAAATTCAAACGAATCTCTATTTTTAAAAAATATATATATATATTTGTCATTAATTTTTCAAACTCTAAAGTCTAAACATATTTCATTACTATTAATTAATTCTTTGAACTAAGAATCGAAATATTTATTAATTTTAAGAATCTAAACAAGTTGACCAACTTAATTTACATTTATATCACTAGAAAAAGAAATCATTTCTTACCTAGCTGTTTTTCTCATTCTTAAAGTAGATAAATTTTATAATATTAACTAAATAAATATATAGTTAAAAATTAACTGAATTAATAAATTTATAATATAATTTCTCTTAATTTCTTTTTCTTAATCTCTTAATAATTTCAAACGTACTATAATATATAAAAATGATACTTAATATATGAGCAATTTCTTTGAAAAAAAGAAATGAAAAAAAATATATATATATATATATTATAACACAAAAACGTCTTGAAAATAATATATATATATATATAATAATTATTAATTAAATAAATAATAATAATATATAAATTAATTGATTGGTTTAAATTGATTTAAATTTTAAATATATAAATTTGATATTTAAACCAATTAATATAAGATTTAATTAAATTAATTTGGTTTAAATTATTAAGTCCATCCGATTAATCTAATCCGGTGAAGATATAAAAGAAAGAGTTTCTTAGTATATCAATACAGTCTTTAAATTTTAAATGATACCACAAAAATTGTGATTTTGTAAATTATGAATTGCTGAATCACAGTTCACCAGTTTTGCGATACGCAAACAGAACTCTATACTTTGGCTTCACGTTTGTCATACTTTCACTTCAGTAATGAGTATAAGACTCAAACATGGTTTTTTCATTTATCATGATATTTAGCATTGTGTTGCAAATATAATCTCAAGTTTTACACTAGAAGTTGCTTCTCACTAACTTTTCGAGTCAGATTATTTGTTTCATATGTACCTCTAACTATGTTATTTGTTCTATGTGTACATCAAGTCATTTAGGCAATTATATACACTTTATTTACAAGTTTATAAATAATAGTGTGTCAAAAATTATTTTTTAATATATTTTGTGAAAAAAATCACTATAAACTCATATTTACTTAAATTTTTTTTTATAAAATTAAGTTAATTTAAAATGAATTCTATGAATGCTGAATGTTTATTTTAAAAATATAATTAATATTTTAGTCTGGATAATATACATGTTAAATATTTATTATATATAACTAAAATTTATAATAATTATATATTTAAATAAATATTATATTTTAATATATAAATTATATTTAAAATTTATATAAATATATTTTTAACATATAAATTATATTTTATATTTATGATAAATAATTTATATTAAAGTACAAGATTATTTTTATTATGAATAATTTATATTA